CCCTCAAATCTGTGTATAAACTGTCCTTAATTCCTGAATTGCATACATAGATAAATGATCCCAAAGATACTGATCGAAATCAAAAGATAGAAGACTGAAACATTTGAGCAGAGATTTCCGCTGATGTACATTGTTAAGAATTCCGCTGATGTACATTGCTAAGTTAGGGAAGCAGATAAAAATATTAGGACTTTTAATGAAATCTCAGGAAGACATGACTTTGAAGTAAATATCAAGTGTTGGGAGTAAGGTTTGGCCCTAAGAATAAAGGCAAAACATAAACACTCCAAAATAACAAAATGTAAAAACAAGCACCAAAAATTCAAAGTGATCAGCCAGCACTGTAACTGCCTGCTAGAATTAAACTAATACTCTTCAGAAGAAGATAGCAGAAGTTCTATAGTATTGTATCTATAAGATCCAGCATACAATAATGTTAATAAGCATGCAAAACAAACAGAAAACACACAACATTGGAAATGTGTCCCAAGAAAAAGAAAAAGTAATCAGTAGAAATAAGTAGACTCTGAAATGACACATATATTGAACATAAGTGAAAAGGGAAAATAATGGATTTAGAGGAAAGGAATAAACAAACATACAGGGAATCTCATTTATAATAACAGCACATTTTATATTTTGTTATTATAATGAGAGAGTAAAAAAATAATAAGAAAAGTAATGAGAAGAGAAAAAAAGCATAATTTACACTACTCTTCTGATGTGGCAGGGTAGGACAAGCAATTGACTACTAACTGCAAGGTCAGTGGCTCAAACCCACCAGTAGCTCCTCAGATACCTTATACAGGGTCACTCACTATGAGTCGGAACTGACTTGATGGAATTTAACAACAGAGAGACATTGTGGATTAAGTGTTGGGTTGCTATCTACAAGAGTTTCCTGAAAAATTCTGCACCTTAATTTGTTGTTGTTGTTGTTAAATGACGTGTTGTTGTAATTAAGTGCTGTCAAGTCAGTCCTGATCCATATTGATCCTGTATATAGGGTTTCTGATGAGCAGCTGATAAGATTGAACTGCCAACCTTGCGGTTCAAACTGACTTTGCAGTCCAGCATATTAACTCACAGCGCCACATCAGGACTCCTTAATTTACACCACTTTAAAACATCAGTTGTGGCATCCTTGAGGGATTCAAATCATGATCTGTTTTATTGTTGTTTTGAGTTTGGGATATGAAAAGAAATCTGAAGTGGCAAGACCAGAACGTAACATTGATGGGTAAAAATTTTCTCAATGATATTCTTATAGCACAGACTTTTTTCCACTGTTAGAATGAGACGGTGCACTGAAGTGATGGAAAGAGATTCCTTAGCACAGCTTTCCTGATCTTTTCTACACCAATGCAGATGCCAATGTGCTTAAAATGTCTGTATGAGCTGGAACCCTAGTAGCAATACTTTTTGACTTACTCTCATGTATGTGTGTATGTATGTATGTGTATGTGTGAAAAAATATGAAAGGGAAATTTAAACTATTTACAAGAGAGCCAAAACCATAAAATATTCAGAAACCTTTTTCTCAAGGATGTATGTACTTTTTCAACTAAATTGAATATACCTCTTCAGTATGGATTGCGTCTCAATGTAAAGAAAACAAAAATCCTTACCAATGGACTAATGAACAACATTCTTATCAATGGAGAAAAGATTGAAGTTGTCAAGGACTTCATTCTTCTTGGATCAACTATCAACACTCATGGAAGCAGCAGTCAAGAAACCAGATGACATGTTGCATT